TGGTTGTATCTAAAGGCACTCCACAGTTAGCGGGGGAAATTGCCGACTCTTGCAATGTTATATCCAAAGATGAGCTGAAGTCACAGGGGGTGACAATTGACAGGAACTTACATTTCACTGAACACATATCAGCACCTTGTAAGAAAGTTAGCTTGGGTGTTGGGGTATTGATGAGGATGTGGAAACTAATTCCAGTGGAGGCCCAGTCGAGGATATTCCAGGCTGCTACTTCACCCTACTGCGGACTAGTATGGCACTTTTGTAGGAGTTTCAACAGTAGGAAACTAGAGCGAGTCATTGAGAGGGGCTTGAGAGCAGTATACTGTGATTTTAGTTCTCCATATGGTGAACTTCTTGCTAAGGCTCATCTTACGAGCTTGTACAAGAGGTGACTGCAGGACATAGCTATTCTAATGTTCAAGGTCAAATACTACTACTATATACTACTATACTACGATATACAACAGAGTAGTATAGAATCCACAAAATAGACCTGACATTCACTTATTACAGAGTTTTAAAACATTTATAGTACACAGACATAATTTTATAAGTGCATAATGTACAGAATTTCACATTACACAAGATACCGTACACAATATATAGAATTTACAATATAGATCTAACTTTCATTTATCAGATACAGTTTTAATGCATTCATAGTATTTTCTTACATTTGGTAGGTGGATAGATTTTTGGAATATACTATTGTAAACATCATATATAATATATAGACCATTACATAATATTCAAAGTATTTTTGCAATTCTCAAAATTATTTTTACAATCATCTTTATTACTACTGTACTAAACAGATTCACCCTTAGTTTCTGTTTGTTTTAACCATTTTGCTATGGTGTCTGCGATTCGTAAGCTACTTTTGCCGCCTAGCTAAAAGACTTAGACACTTAAATGAAGTTGTTAATTGATTGATTGATTAATTGATATCAACTTAAGCTCATGGTCACTATCAATTAAATCAATAAAAAAAATGAATCGTGATAACATTCCATTGAATGCATTGATAGTGGATACGAAGCGCGAGTAAACGCTCTCGGAGCGTCTACTTTCAACAAGTAAGTTGTCTTTAAAACATATTAAAGTTCACAAAGCAACCAGGTGGACAATCAGACATGGTGTAATGCTACTCTGGTTTAAAGATTTAATGAATGTAACCGAGAAGTTACAATTCATTGACCCAACGTTTCGACACTCCTGTCCAGTGTCTTCATCAGGGGTGATGAAGGCACTAGACAGGAGTGTCGAAACGTCGGGTCTATGAATTATAACTTCTCGGTTACATTCATTAAATCTTAAAATCAGAGTAGCATCAAACCATGTCTGAGTGGTCTTTGTTGGTCTAGGAAAAAGCAATATGACAAGTGAAATGCAATTTATTCCAGATAAAAAAAAACGTTGGATGCGATATAATTTTCAATAAAATACATCCGAAAAGGTTGAAATCTTCCAGTATTAGCTTGGCTCAGGATACTCCTTTTTATGTGACGCGTGATTAGTTTAAAAAGTTATCCGTGATGCGTGATTTAAAATAAACATTCAGCGGGATGTGTGATTGGAACCCCCTTTTTAACTCGTAAATTGCGCGCATGCGCAAGAGCGAGTTATAGATACGATGTGGGGAATGGAATTCGCTCGCTCGCTGGCAGGCATGCCAGGATTCACACTGAAATAACAGAACAACCTTCGTTTTTCATGAAATTGTAATTTACAATCCTTGAACTTGAAAACAATCCGAAGATTCATTGAAAATATCACTTACTGCTAAGCGCTCGGAGTTTACAGATGTTCAAAAGCTTTTTCTGTTATAGCGTGAGATTGAGGACAAAATTGATCATTACGTTTCGTCTCGTGTGTTTTTCCTGTGTGAAGCAACAAAAGATGCCGGCGACTAACGAAATAACAACAAAAGATGCCGGCGACTGACGAAATTACAAGTTAACACGAAAATCAAATAACACCTAAACAAACAATTTTAGCTACCGAGTTTCAGTGAATTTTTAAAGAACAATTTTCTTTTAAGTTTCAAGACAATTTGAAGATTCAACATACATACAACGTACTAAAATGCGAAATTTACACACCACAAAATTGATAAATAGGCCTCAAATGAAATTCTATCTTGTTATTGATTTTACGTTGCCTAGCACGTGACTTAAATCTACCCAGGCGGAGATCCAAAATGACGGTGGCAGGCTTGGCTTAGTTATATCACTCAAAACTCGTTCCCGTTTGTCTCATTTGATAAAGAGGGAATCGTTAATGTTTTCGTTAAGTCAGTATTACCTTGATTCTCTAATAGTAGACAGTAGATTTCACTTTTCACCTACATTTACTTCCAACCTTTTCTTTTGAACCAGAAACAAAAATGATAGAAGTTTAAAACACATGACATCATCCACCTTGTCAAATGTAATAGCATGATCATTTCAATTGTAATGCCTTCTTATCCCAACGTTACTTTGTTTCTTTGCTACATTAGCGAACACTGAACTACTGCTCGTACTCTAGATATGACAATCAACCACAAAATTCCCTAAACCAGATAACATTAAACATAATCTAAAAAATCATGTGTCAATTCACGAGTTTGCTCACAGAGCACTTTGATTCAGTTTCCAGGATTAGGAAAAAAATGATCCTATCGCAAGCATGTTCATCATAACCCGAGCATTAAGTACGCCTCGAGATGTTGACGGAAGAAAAAGTGGCCCCATGGTTTGTAAGACAAGCCATTTCCTGAAGTTCGAACTAATCGAGTAGAAAGCATGACAACATAGCGCTAAAAAGAACCAGGACCAAACAATGAAATTCACTCCACCTCAGTAGGACTCCATTTTACCCGTGAATTTGTTTACACTACACATTTGCGGTCCGTAATTTAATTCTCAGATGATTGACGGGTTCTCACATGACAATACTGTTAAAATCAAATTACTGCGTCTGACTTAGCGTAAACACGAACATCGCAAACTCACTCTCATGTAATTATCATTTTGGTTGAGGCTTTTACTTCTTAGGGTAAAACAACACACCTTCGACAAAGCGCGATTTTTTTAAAGAATAAAGTAATCCCTGAGATAGTTAACTGAAGAGAGAATGATAGAAACTTGTTCACGCCATTCACTATCATCTAACTGAAGACCTACTAGGCAAACTGACATAATCAGTAAGATAACTTCTTTTCCCTTTACACCACGATCGTATTAAATATTCCGAACGATAGGACAAGAAACAACTCGAAGAATACGAACACTTTGAAATGTTATTCGAGCGACGAACCGGCGCGGTGGTTTTAAAGCGATGAATGCCAAAGTCATTTTTGGAGCTCTTTGTATTTCCTTCTCACGTTGCTCTTCGCTAGATATTCGCCTTTTTACTTATGCCTTTTCTTGTTCTATTTTGCGTTCCTCTCGTCGTATTCTGCCTATTTTAGCGTCCTTTCTAACTTTCGCGCGCGTTTTTCTCGACTCGCTTTACGCCTTTTACTTCTTACTTTCACTGGTCGCTTTGTCTCTTTCTTTCCAGCCTATTTTCACTCAAAACCCTCTCTCCACGAACTTGAATTATAACGATTTCCTCCGGTTGACAAAGCTTTGGCTCTGCCGGTATTGTTGATTAGAAATTGCAAAATACTGAGAATTACTGTTCAACTGCAACCTCACTACTTTGATTTCCCGCTCAAAACGCTTATTGCAAATTATTTGCTGACGCGGAGCCCACGTGAAGCCCTCGTGTAATGCCTAACCATGTGCCCGCGGTACGCTACGCAACGTCATTTTGATTTGTCGGTGTCTCCTGGCACACACTAATAGGGTATCCAAGTTACGCACGCAATTGCACCTGCACATTAATTTCTCGCTCGCCCATCTATTACGTAATGGCTAGGATAGTGCAGTTGGCCGCGCATGCTAAAAGTAGTAACTTGTACGGTCGGTCGTACGGTCTCAAGTCCTAATTTTTTCAGGTTGATGGGTTACTACTATTACCTATAATTATGGGGTTACGCTGTGCGCGCTGCGAGCTCCCTCATTTCAATAAGCTCGTTTCTATGATATTATCTCACCTTCTTTTGGTTCTTAAACGGCTGTTTTCAACTTGCGGTGGCGTAGACCGAAGGCATGAAGAGACCGACTGAACATGATCGAGAACTTGTGTGTTCACCTCAAACTGTTACTCGTTACTTTTCTTCCTAAATTTTGGTGTTGATGAAGCCACGGTGGATCTAAGTCTTTTTATTAATGCTTATTCATGCTCTTCGGACAGTTCCCTCGTAAGGGATGGAAAGCTATCGCAAAGCTCTTCCTTTAGGCCTGATAAGGTATTGGCGAGATTAAATTTAAGATCGGACGGCATTTTAACGTGAAGCTTGAAACATTCGAGAGCTGAAATGGATACATTATAAATGTCAAACCTTATACGCCTTTCAACAAAAGACGCAATAAACCCCATAGCGGCTTACGTGCTTACAAACCGATAGGAAAATATTTACATTCTCTGTCACTGCCACTTTCAGTTTGCAGTTTCATTCCACCGAATGTAAATACATATCTCTAAGTCGCTGGTGAGTTAGAATGTGATCAAAGGCAAACAACAGATCTCATTTGGTCCCTGGAAGTCTATGGTATCGAGAGAATAATAAAAGAGAGCGAGTTCTCTGCCATCTGAAGGATGGTCCAAAGCGTGGTTTGGTTGGAGAAGAGCTCTTAATAGTTCCAAGATAACTGAGCTCCCACCTGAAGGAATTCGTTGATCATAATAGTTATAAATTAAAATTTATCATCCGATAGATCCAATCAATCCTTGTGGTGAAATGGGTGTTCAAAATGTGAACAATCAAAAGATCGTCAATCTTGCCAATCTAAATGACCATCAAGACCATCAAAAATAGAAACAATCGATTTATTCACTTTTTTGGTCAAAATATGCCAACGGAAATTTCGTTATTGAGATATTCATCAGGGAGAAAGCAACGTGCAGGTGTCACATGGACCACGACTCAAACAGGGAAGTACTTTATTATAATACTTAAAGTGTTGCTTTTTATGATCAATCAGGATTGAACAACCATAAAACACAAAAAATTAAATTTCACTCAGACCAAAAATATCAACTTCAAGAAACAAGGGAAGACAGTTTTTCTTTTTCGATCGAAATAGGCATTTTGATCTTCCTTTCAATAATCCTAAAATCCCCTAAAGTCTTTAATGTTATCAAGATATGTAAAAGAAGTTTAAATGGAACAACAATATAAACAAGAAAATATTTGATTGGAAACAGAAGCCGTTATGGTTTTTTTTCTTTCTCTTGAAAAAGATAGAGATGTTGTTTTAAGTGGAACAGTTAAAAAATTAAGACCATATGTACCATCCACCGTTGTTGGAGAAAACATTAAAAATTTCAATATACAGAGAAGAACAGATTTAAAATTTGTTCCTAGTGATATTAAACCTTCAGCAGGATTCAACACAAAGGCAAACGCAACAGAAGGAGGAAAGTAGAAAATTGTCAGCTCTCACTGGAATACAGATGATGAAAATGCTATTATAAGTTCTCCTTTTAGGTGTAATGGGAAAAAGCCTCTCGACTTTAGTGCAAGGGGAATTCCTCATAATATATGGGGGAACTTTTAAAACAACATGGAGAGGGTTCAATGGGTTTAATGAGAGTTTAAACTCAGACTGCCATACTTTTCTAATTTGAAAAGACACACTTTTGACAGAAGAACAAATCAAGGCACACCACCACGACTTCTTCATAAGAAGATACGATAATGATGTTGATCCTGTCGAACGATTGAATTTATTGGGGATGATGGGATACTGAAGATTGACAAGTTAATATGTTTAAAAGGTATGACATGTTAGTTTAAATAAGGAGAAATATAAAAAGTGTCTCAGTAGTTGTAAAATGAGAGTTCTGGTAGAAGTTAAAGGGTCAGTATGAAAAAGTGGTCCGGGCTTGTCCCGGATCCCTTCCCATCCTTTTTTCGGTAATAACCTTATCCCAGAACTCTCATTTCACAACTACTCCTTTCATTACTGATTTGAAAAGGGTCTTCAGTTCAATATGTAAGACTACAGTAACATCTCTTAAACCCAACGACTTCAACAGTTTCACTTCTTTACAAGTCAATTAAAATTGCCAATCGATTTTTCTTTGCTACTACAGCGATGTTGTTCCCACACTTCAGGTGGTGTGTAACACTGCCTCACTGTACGACAGAATCTGTAGACATTTTGCCTTATCCCCGTCAAAACAAACCACTAATTTTTTTCCGTCCTTAGACAACGCGATTTCTACCGGTGGAGCTGCTGTTCTAATAGTTCTTACCAATGTTCCCTCTTTGCTATAAACATGTACAGCGTAGCCTTCGCAATCACAAACCAAAATTCGACCATTCTCAGAATCAACTGCAATACCCGCGAGATCTTCAAGCATGCCCTTTCCAATTTCTCGACGAAATTCTCCTTGAAGGCTGAAGACTTTGACACTCTTGCTGTCTGCGTCAGGCACAAATAATTCTCCGTTGAGGAGCACCGCCTTTTTTGGGGAAGACAACTTCCCTTCACCGAACACGGATTCTAATTTTCCATTAACATTATAAACCAGAACGCAGGAATTCGTTTCGGAGGTGAGCTCTTGGTATCTCGGACTTGACGTCACAAACAAACGCCCAGATGAATCGTGCGACAGAAAAGTGAACTTTACTTTTGGGATGGGAGTCGTTGGGAACTTGCGCTTCAGATTTCCACTTCGGTCGTAATGCAACAATGAATTAGTTTCTCTGTTTAAAACCACAATTTCATCATTGTGCGAGTATGTAATGTCCCAAAAGTCGCCAAATATGAAAAGAAACTGAGTGAGATGATTTCCCTCTCGATCAAAAATATGCACGCGTTTGTTTTCAGCATCCAATACTGCTATGTCTCCGCATTTCTTTGACACCGTCACCGCAAACGGGAAGAAGTTAGGGACCTTAATGCTACCTCCATCGATGTGTTTTAAGACTTTTTCGTCGCTAAAACTTTCGTTGAGGCCAGCTAGTGAATGTTTGTCGCTATCGACCTCTCCGCTTTTCACGCTCAGATCTCCAAATATAGATTCTGCGTTATCTAAAGAGAAGTCGCTCTTCGTAAAGGTAAGTTCAAATTTTCGAAAACATTTTCGCCTTGCTGAAAGAATTTGAATACCAGCAACTTTAGCGAGCTCTTCTAAATGCTGCACCTGTCTCAAACCACGTTTATCTCCGTCTTTCTTCTTCTCGACGCTTTCAACACAGCTGGAGGTCTTTGCTAGCAGATTATTTAGTTTTTCCTTTTGTTTGTCGAAGGTAGTTTCGGGGTAATTGTTATTCATGTACTGATCAACTTCAAGAAGTAATTGCTGTTCCTGATCACGAATTATGTCAATAACATGATTTGCTGCAGTTTGGATTTCCTTTTTCACATTTTCCGCTTGTTTCTTTATTGAGTTTCGGCGAACGTCCATTTCTTGTATTGCGTTCTTTAGTCCTTCAAGATTTTCCCTACTTCTTTTCAAAGCTTCCTTGATAAATTCATTATCATAGGCCTTTCTAGAGGGATTTTTTTCAATCAGTCGAGCCAGCAGATGGTTCTTCGGAAACGCTGAAACTCCGGCGGTTGGAATGAAGGACTCCACTCGGCAAACTGGGCATTCGATACTTGTCATGGTTGAATTTTTACATGTCATCTCCTCTAAACATTCCTGACAAACATTGTGAGCACAATTTGGCAAACATTTTGGCTCTAGAAATTCCTCTAAACAAACCGGACAGCTAACCTCATGCTCTACTGCCGCCACAACTTCATATAGTTTTATAGATTGCTTTGTAGCCATATTTTTGAAGTCTTGATGAAGCAGCACAGTCACCCGACAAAATGGTCTGTTTGTCTCTTGATATATTTTTACCGTTGTGCTGAGCCTGTCACGCATATTTCATATTTGCATAAAAATTGCGGTTTTCATGATGTGTTGAATTGGCACCTGAGTGCAGCTTGTTGTTATTGCAGTTGTGAGGTGGAGCCCTCGCAAGCCGCATGCAGTTCATCCAGCATAATTCGGTTTAACTGTTGAAAACAAGGTTGACGCTGTCAGTGGTCTTTGAAGAACGAGGAACAACACTAGTGTTTCCTGTAGTTCAATGTGATGTAATACTAGTGGTTGCATCCCTTTAGTTTTGCCCAGCCTCACAATAGCGTGTGTTATTATGTATTCCATGCTACGTGTGTAATTATGTATTCCATGTTTGACAACGACAGCTTTGAGCGGTTGTTTACAGTTTAATTTCGTTTTCAATCATGATGATGAAAGAGTAAAACTTTCTTGTATGGTTACAAGGTGTTAAAATCTGATCTATAGCACGCGCGGAAGAAACAAAAGGCGTGACTTGATAACTCTCCAATTAAAGGGTATGTATTACAATTGAAATAATAAGCCGGAGATGGCCACTGGTTACAAGATATTGCTAAACGTTAAATTAATCGCAACTTTTCCATGTTCGAAGATAACTGGTCCTGCAGAGTGAACAAGGATCCGCAACATAATTACCTTTACCGTTTAATATTAGTGAATATCTCTTTGAGATGTCACGACACGACACCTCGTACGCTCTGGTGCTGCAATGAATAATACATAACATGCAAACGAAAGAATTATCTGACAAATAAAAATTTCCACCTATTTTACTTAAAACTTTAAAATTTATTTTTGATCCAGCCTTGCAGTTTCCAATTAAAATAACAAAAAAGTTTACCGCAGATCAGATCTTACGAAGAAGACTTTTCCTTGCTAACTCTGGTCTAGTTCACCTGCTTGTCGTATTTTATTTGCCATGTTTATAGTTTCATCCCGGGAACCCACGTAAATTGAAGGCCCTCCCTATGAATAACCCTTTAAGGTTACACCAATCACGTGATCAAACTAGTTCACCAGATCGGAAAAAAACATTCGCGTCGCTTTATTGTGATGGTACAAATCATTTTCGTTGTCGCTTGAAATCATCCTGTAAATCGTAAAATGAGGGAATTTTTTTTTCATAATAATAATATCGGGTCAAAACAATCTAGCCCTTTCACTGATGTCGACTGCGCAATGCAAACCTACGTAATTTTCTTCAAAGAAGTTCCAGCACGCATAATGTCATGACATCGAAGGACAGCCTAGGCATCAAGGTTAGAAACCTGTTTCTAACCTGTTTCATCGCGCTAAATTAGGGGTACAAATGAAGACACTAATACCAAGAAGAACTTCTTTTTTATTTAACAGTGCAACGATAGCTTGTATTGAAAATCTGACAAGGCACAGCGCTCTTAACAGAAAATGCCTCAACTTCAACAGTAATTAAAAACCTGGAATTTATTTCTTATGATATCTATAAAATTACAAAAACCACTTTACAATTTAATGCAATGAAAAAACGAATTCCACATTAATTTCACTCTTGAGACTGATAGGGTCGCAAAATCGCCGCAAACTCACAACATTACCTGACATGATCCAAAAAATTTACTATTACTAAATATCCCGAGAAACAAGTACATGAGTCTTGCTAGATAGATGAGTTGACGCTTCCTTATTAAAAAAAACGACATTTCTCATTTCCATTATCAACCAAGTTGTGTGGCAATCGGTATTGATCGTGTGTATACTGCCAAACATTAAAAAAAAAAAAAAAGGATTCAAGCTAACACTGACTTAATAGAATATATATATAAAAAAATATATGTATATATATAAATTTGGTCTCAAACGGATCCCACTCAGCTAAGAGATGGCGAATTAGCGCACAGTTCAGTCTAATGTCCCCTGAGGAGTAATATTTTAACAACAAATTCTGCTCACAAAATCAGAACAGTCAATAATATTTCATGGGTGCAATGACTGCCATGTGCAGGGGAACTAGCTTATGATGTGAAATATTTTGTTTTGTGAGATCAAGCTGAATTTTTATGACTGCGTTCTTAAATATCGAGAAAATTTTTACTCATAACCTTGGAAACACTTAATTAATTATATCGAATAGTCAAAACACAGAGCAGAACAGTATCGTGTCACTGCCTTCCACCAGCGTAAGTTGGATTCTCGAATGTGGTCTTGGCAGCTTGATACAGGGGATTTTTTTCCTGAAAATCAACGATGGGTATCACGTCACACAAAGACTAGATAACAATGGAGGATAAACATTGAGAAACCTAAAGCAAATTAATTGATAGTGAATACGAAATTCTCATATTTTGTTTCAATCGATCAACAAGGAGGGAGAAAAGAAAGAAAGCTTAAAATACTCTTGAGCTTAACATTCATGAGGGAAACACCCCATCTGTCCTGAACTCCCTTTTCATCAACACAGACGTCGTGTTGACGAATGAAAAACAGAGGCATGACAATAATGGGATTAAAAAAAGCTTGTGAAAAAAAAAAGAAGAAAAGATATCGTAGCTTAAAGTTTGGCAATCGCTGCTTAAACAGGCTGTTGAAAGGAAACAAATTGAACTTACCTTGGTCCATCTCGAGTGCATTCGTTCTCGTTCAAACTTTTGATATTCAATGCGGTCCTGAAATAGAAAGCAATACGAATTCAGTAACACGGACAGCCTAGAGTTAGCACCGTAAGGACAATGGTTGTTTCAATAAGGAATCCTTTTTTTTCATTTCACACGATTTTAAAACCACTTCTCCTACAATAGACACTGATTATAGCTCGATCGTTGTTTGAATTTCATTGGCTCAGACTAAGACAATGGTTTCCCTCGCTGACGTAACACAAAACGTGCTAAGATTACATTTAAAGTTGCTTATGAACCCGTAAACGTGAATGGCATAAACCGATTAACTAAGATGATTTGATCTCAGAGCCCTACTTGTTTCTTAATGACAGATCTGGTAACCAACTGACCTTGACTTTTCAAGTTACGCTGGGTTAATCAGAGGCATTTGATGAACAGCTCCAGTTATACACATTTGCACTCATTTCAAACCGAAATAAAAGGCGCAGCGGAAGAAAATTCAAGTTGATTAACCATCAAACTTAAGCTAACATACCACCATAGTAACGAAGGCCTTGACAACAATTAATATGATAAGACCCAGCAGTAATATTCCACCAATCACACCCAACACAATGGGTAAGATGGGTGCTTCTTCAGGACAACTCACTGAAACAACAACAAAAAACGAAAGCAGCGTAAGAAAACCAAGTCGGACAGCTACACAAAAAGTGTTTTCACTATCCAGTTGTAAGTTCAAAGAATTGTATCAAGGGCTAATAACATTATCCTAAGGATAAATCGCTATATAGCGAATAAGTGGAAAGCAAAGCGAACTACGCTATCCCACAGATAGTGATTTATCCAGAGGATAGCATTCCCCAATCTTCGAACAATCAGAGCCTGGAGTTTAACAATTGTAAAATAAGGGGCATTTTCAACCTGCTGGGGTCTCCTGAAATAGCAAATTGAACTATTTTTTTCAAGATTAACTTAAGTAAAACCACACATCAGACAAGACACTGAAGCATTACCTTTCTCTTTTTGAACAAAAAGTACAAAGCGTTCGCTGTTTTCCTCTGTTTGCGTGGTAAAGTAATATGTGCATCCGTCAACTTCACCCTCACAGCGATACAATCCTTCATCTGTGCATGAAAAAAAGGCAACAAATAAAATCAATTCTGCATAATAATAATCCCACCCACATTTGATGCCAGCTGCGTTGCCGACTGAACGCTTTGTGAATTCTAACTACAGAACCTGTACCACACGTTCACGGATCAATTGTCTCAACCCACAAGTTGCGCAGGCTAAACATATTTCATGTCTTTGAAGCTGGTCACATTTGATTGGCCTCGGTTTGGCTTAGTATTTCTTTAAGCTCAATATTCTATTAGGCTGTTTCCCACGATGAAAACTATGCACGTTCTCTGATTCTTTCGTTATGATGGGCGCCTATTAATCCTCACCTGTTTTTTTTTCAATATTATCCACCACCTGAACTTCCAGAACATTAGCTTCACACCTATTTATTTTTTTACACTGCTCCAAGGACTGCCCTTCGAATGTTGCACACAGAGCACAGTCTTCATTGCGACTACACATGCCGTCTTCACAGTTCTAAAAGAAAGATTATTTTCACACGAACAATGTTTAGTAAAGTGTGCATGACAAGGATTTTAAACACCACAATTTGATCGCTGTGTTACTAATCACATTCTTGTATTTGGGGTGTCCTCGATGCTTTTGGAGAGGCACCTCTTGCATAACGAATGTCTTACCTATCACTGGGAAAAAAAATCCTCTTCATACCAAGAAAGACAACGTACAGCGTGCAGAAAGTACTGCAACTTTTAGTCGAGTAAAACTGAGATTATCGGAGAAATGACCGTCTGAAATCGTTGGTTCCAACATTTGTTTGACAGGGGTATGGAGTTTTCCCCAAACATACAAATGCCTGGAACTCTTTTAGTAAACAAATTGTCTCCTTTAAACAGTGACTGACCCGGTTCACTTGTTATCCACCATTAGCAGGGAAACAATCTAAGACAACGAGATCGTGGTGCATTTCGACATTGAGTCACTATTCACTAACGTTCCGCTCGACACAGCTGTACATGCAGCTCTACAGAAACTAAAAAACGATCTAAACCTAACCAACCGCACGGCAATAACAAAGCGCAGATAAGGAACTTTAAACTGCATACTTCCAGTATAACAGATCAATTTATTAACACACAGAAGGCATAACCAAGAGGAGTCCGTTTCCCGTTTTTATTGTTAACCTCTACATGGTGAGTTTTGAAGGGCGAGCATCATTTTATAAGCCCTGGATTTGGAAACGCTACATAGCGTAAATTTTCAGCTGCTCTTTTGGAGAAGGGTTTTGTAGGGAGTGGCATCTACCTCCAAGCCAAGTTCAATGTATAATACTGTAACAGTGACTGAAAAAAGTCATAACACCACTTACCGGACACTTTTCACAGTAGGTTCCATCATAAGCACTCTTACAAACACACTTGTAGCAGTTTTCGTCATCTGGCTTGCATTCACCTCTCTCAGAACCTCCACAGATCTCCTGAAAAGACACAGAACAACGGAAGTAAGAAGTTGGCCTTTTTTTATTATAATATAACTTAAAAAACAATCGGTGAAGGGATCACGGCAAAAAAGCTGCCTCACCGAATCCGCATCTTTCTTGCATTGGGTTTCTGGAGGAAAGTATGTACAGTTCTTCTTGTCACAGTTAGCGCCATGATACTTTGGTTTACACTGGCATTTACGGCAACGACAAACTCCACGATCAGGACCTGGAAAAAGAAAAAAATACATACATCACCACATACCAGTAGCGCCTTAAGACAGCTCACAAATACATAATCACCATGCTAAGGACGTTTAATTCTGTTTACTGTAGAAGAACCATACCTCCACATAATTGGCCTTTATCTTCAGGACATGAGAAATCATTGCACTGGCACAAGTCCCCATAAAACCTTTTTCCTTGCTCCTAAACAAGAAGCAATTACGGCGTCAGCGAAAACAAGCCTGATTGTATCCATAATATTTGAGCCCAACCTTTTCCCTTCATCCAAGTCGAAAGCAGTTTTTTTTTTCTAACCAACATTTCAAAATGGTTATTCTGTTCACTCACCGCTTTGCAAACACACTTTCCACAGGCACACTCGCCGTTTCCACTGCATGGCAGTTCGTCTGTAGAGTTAGAGCTGCAGGTAGAAAACACACAGTGTTACTGCAACAATATGACCCAGCCATTCGTTTTACATTCATTCCATATTTATACCTAATCTTAACGTAAAAATTTGCTCATCTCCATATCTGTAAAACGGAACAAATATTCCGTACGCTCATTTACGTGATAATAATTCTTCTGTTAAACGTAAAATGACCCCTGAAAAGCAAAACTGATGATTTTTGCATTGTCAACAATAGTCCTAGATATAAAAGAGCATGATACAGTAACGGCCGTCGGTTTTTTAACCGACTAATAACTGTTTTTAACACTGACTAATAAGAGAGAGGTTGTGACAGGCTGTCCATCATGGCTGAAATTCAAGACATGCCAAAACCATACTACTGTTTTCTTTAGTAGGACGTAATAAGGGTTGTGGACTTGAAAAACTTCTTAAATTTTACCTACCTTTTACATTTAGACTGATCCTTTGATTTGTCAAATGGCGTATCGCACTGACAAAATTCTCCATACCTTGAAGAAAAAAACGTTTGATGAGTGCCTTTTTTGGTGTTTCCAAAGAGACTTATGTGTAGGATTGTGGGTGTAACGTGTAGCGGCAAAAGTTTGAATAATAAAACGCGCATTGGCAACAAGCAGAGATCAATTTTAAGAGACTACATTCAACGTAAGCAATTGTTTGTAACTGACCTCAGTTACTTCTGTAGGTCTTGTCCACTGATCACAATAATAATTCCCTAGTGATTATTTAAACCCCACCCCCTC